CACCCACAATGATTTTGTAAAAGTGTGTCGGTACCGCCACAGTATTGGCGCCAATTACCTCATATTTAACATACATCTTGCCATCGTCCTCCTTGTGTGGCAGATACAATGGCCCTGTACACACGTACACACTTGGATATGTCTGCGTTAGTTTGCGTACATACATTTCCAGCCGATTCCATGAATCGCGATTGAATCCCTGACCCACTTGCGGCGCCATATTCGATAAGTAGAAGGTATCTTCGCAATGTTTTTGATGACGCCGGTGATTACCCGCTGCTGCCATGTGACCACGATCGTAGCCAGAGCGACGATAATCAGTATTTTGAGCACGAAAGAAGGGATGTATGCTGTCATCCGCGCGGAATTCACATTTTGAGCGATCGACGGCATCGTTTCTGGCCACTGACTCAGGCGTGAGATGTTCAAATACCCAATGTGGTACGCGGTTACGGCGATCGTAGGATAGCACAAAATCTGAATAAGAACGAACATGATCCAGCCCAGGGAAACCATATTTCATGATTTGTGAAATGCGCGTTGGTGTGGCATTGAGATTCACTTCTTCTGCTGGCACTGGTACTGCGGCCGACACTGTGCCAAAAATTGGTAATGCGGGGCGGCGCTCCAACTGCGAAAGCGGATATTAGAGAAGATATTAAGGCTACACGGAAATTTATCCCATTAATTCAACGTTAAATGAAGCCACTTATGTACCTGCTGGACTAACGCTGGCGTTTTTATTTCCCACTCTGTTTCAGGCACTTGTTGACGTTCAACGTATTTACCGGTAAAGTAGGCGCAAGTGGCGGCGGTTGCGCATACTAGAACATTTTTAAGTAGCCTTTTATTCATTTTCGGTGCTATTATTTATGCTAATAAAAGCTTTCAATTGTTTATTAAGCGATGCTATAATCAAAATTGATCACCCCCATGTGAATTAGCCCACTTGCAGTCTGACCAGCTGATTTTTGTTATCCAATCAGAAACAGCTGTGCGTGCACAAGGCAACAAATTGGAC